GGGTAAAAGAGAGATTTTTGCACATGTATTATCGATGCAGCATTTGCGGATGTACCAAATGACGACTTGGAGGCATCCCGAATGGTGCTTTACTAAAAAAAATTTGAAAGTCGTGCATAAATGGGCCACCTTAGGCGGATAAGCCTCCTGTTGTTGTTGTTGTTGTTGTTGTTGTTGTTGTCGTCGTCACGTAATATGTTGCGATATCAAGTCGCAAAATGAGATGAGCGCACCACATACCAGATCCAGGTATCCCATGTCATACCATATCTCTCAACACTTGAGCGGGACGCGGACGACCACACCGTAAAATCGGCGCATTGCTAGGAGGATGGAAGATTATTACGAGGTCTGCGATGTCGTAACATCGCGACAGACTCGAGGTGAACTAGCGTGCAGAATGAAGAGATTCAGAGCTGTTGTGAGGCTATGAACACGATACTATGCACTCTCGTTATTATAGTTGAGGACGAGTTGCGAACAAAATATTTGAACATTTCAAATGCTAATATTCAATACATTATTTGATATTCCAAACGGTCGAATACTTTGAAACATCGAAATTCTTAGAGCAAATGGTTTAGGAACCGAGATTCAAATAATGCTCGATTCGAATTTCTGCGAAATCGTTGAATATGATTAAGACTGAAATATTCGAATAATTCAATTATTTGCCATTCGATTGTCGAATGTTTGAAACGCACTTATTCTGTTGTTCAAATATTCGAGATTTGGCCATGCCTAACTATTCGATAAATGGAAATGTCGAATATACAAGATCCTCCTCTAGACCGACTATTTATATATTCTAAATGCTAATTTGAATAAGCAGTTGATGGGAACTTTTCACACGTAAAGAACATTAAAATAACAATTAAAGTAAAATTCTCATGATTTACCGAGCCCACAATGGAGATAAATCTGCATTACATGATATCAACACCATTAGAATATTCAACGCATTACTCTATAGCTACTATTTACCAAATCTAATTATATTTGTATTACATTAGAATTAATTTATGTTTATCTTTATAAAATTATAAATGTGATATCCTAATATCTTAGGTTCGGTTAGCTAGTTTACGAAATTACAACGGAAATCTTTGTTCAGACTGAAATCATTCCTGCTACATCTATAACACTGCCGCTAATAGGAAAATACCTACTCTTTACAATGATAATGGTGACGCTGAGCGTTTTCGTCACCGTTGCTTGTAAGTTACTCTACCCGAACTCTAAAAACCAAATTAGATGCAATTTCCAGCTTTGGATGTGCACTTTCGAACTCCTACAACACATGCCATGCCGAAATGGATAAAGGTGGTGTTTCTTGAGTGGCTGCCTAAAATCTTATTCATGAGGCGATTAGACGACAATGGTGACTCCACTGCGAGCATTGCTGATAAAAACTCAGGTTATTAGTTCTCGTTTCAAGGCTCAGGTTTTATTTGTTTCCTGCATTTTAGAACTCACTTCATTGGAAGGCAAATTCCCTTTGAACTACCATGGGCATCGGCATATAAGCACTGATGCACTGATAGACGAAAGGATTCAAAAACTCTACAAATCGCCTCAAGTGAATGACATGTAAGACGCAGCACAGGCAATGAACTTATTTCACTTATAACCCAGGTTATACAAGCCTTTGAAAACATCATTTTTATTGCTGAATTGCTGAAAAAGAATGAGCATGATGATAAGGTGGGGTAAAACCTATTTTTTATTGTAAATCTATGATCTTTCGTAGATTAACAAAACCTCTT